TTTTTAGTTTTTTTAAATTAATCGATCAAAAAATATATCCTATAAACAAAAAAGTTTTAATTATTGGAACAATTTTTTGAGTCAGTGTATGTAGAATTCCATCTTGTATCAATATCTTGAATTGGTGAAAGTGCTTTTTTGGTAGGTTGAAGAGCTTTTTGAATTTGTAAAAAACGATCTCTATATTTGTCATGGTGTACAAGAAAAAGATTAAGTGCTTTGGCTTTTTTTAATAAATATTGACTAGAATCAATTCGTAATTCATCTGAAATAGCCAGGTGAATTGTATGTGTACAACATGGAATATTGGTAATTTGCAATTCACGTAAAGCCTTAATTATTTTCGAATCATTATCACTAATACCAGCAATAATTTTTTCTTGCAAATCGATATTCCAACGGTTAAAAATATGTTGTAATTTCATAGCTATATTTAATCCAGTATGATCATATGGCATTTCTTCTATAGTAAGTAATGCTTTTTTAAGTTCAAAATCATCAGTTATCCAATGAACCGTTACGCCAATATAAGAACGATGAAATCCTGTCCACAAGTCAGTTGTAAAACTCATCTTTGTCATAGTTTTTTTTAATATATCTACTAAAATTTGACGTGAATATTCAACGCTTTGTGCAATCATAATTTTTATCGTATTGTCGCAAGGTATTCTATAATCAGGAAATATGCTAGCACAAAAATTCTTAAATTTTTTGTTCTTTAGCATATGAAATGGTTGAAAATCATCTATTATATATTCTAAAAGTCGAAAATTACTTTTTTCTTGTTGTTCTTTTGTAAATGAATTAAATTTTGTTTCAGTAATTTGTTTCATTTGAGATAATGGCATATATTTTGTAATAAGATGAATGCGACTAAGATGGTAAGCATAAGAAGAAGTGGCTGTATTTAAGGAAAGGCTTACTTTACATTTTGTAACTTTGCATTTACTAATTTGATTTTTTTCATCCCGATCAAACCATTTCCATACCCAACTTGTACTTGATTTTCGCTTTTGCTTAGATAATACTGTTGTTGACTGTAAAGATGAAACTGATTTTTCTATAGTATTATTTTCTGTATCAGATTCCTCAATTAAGGTTTCAACAGAATTTTCGCGGATTTCAAGTCTTTGATTAAGAAGTGCAGTATCAAGTGAAGAAGATAAAAATAATGATGAGTTTTGATTATCTGTAAGCTGTAAATCAAAAATTTCATTATTTGGATCATACAAATAAAAATTTGATGTATTATTTGTTTGTTGATTATTCATTTTATTTATTTCGCTTTACTTAGTTAAAGGAAGTTTTTCTTACTTAACGTTGACATTATTTACCATTATGTATAGTTATATATCGAGAATCTCTATTATATTCTATATACTGTATGTCCAGTTAAGAAATGATTGACAGTTAATTGTGGTTAGCTGTGATTAACTTGTTACACGATTAATATGATTAACTGATTACGGTCAACTCTCGATAAAAGAAACTGTACACAATAGTCTATATTAGTTAATGATCAATGCGTTAATTGAAAATAGTTACGATCATCAAAATTTTCTGGGTCCCGGTTTACTCGATAAAAGAAAATTTTGATACTTGAGAGGGGTTTCGAGAAATCTGAAACTTTTTTTAAACATAAAAGGTTGTTACATAATAAACTTTTTATTCTATTAATTATATTACCTTTTACATATTAATTAAAGTTAAACTACACAATGAATTCTATATACTATGAAATTTTCATTAAATTACATTAGACTTTTATTATTAACATTTAAGCTTTACATTTATATGAAAATTTTTTTAATTTTTGAGTTT